GGCGGATCTGCAGACCGCGTGTCGCGACCCTTGTCGACGCCTCCACCGGGGCCTCTGGAGCCGCCATGGTCCTGCTACACGTGAAGCGAGGCGACGAGAGCCAGTTCCTGCTGCAGGCGCCGGGCAGCACCGAGCTGGAGGAGCTCACGGTGCAGGTGACCCGGGTGTACAACGGGCGGCTCAAGGTGCAGCGGCTGTGCTCAGGTGCGACCGGGGAGGCCGAGGAAACCGGGCGATCGGGGCTGCAAGTTGGGCAGGACCGACAAGGATCTCGGGCCAGGGCCGAGGTGCTGAGTTTATGAAGATGTGAAAAGACTGACAGCAGCTAAGGGCGAAACGGGGCCCTGGGTCTAAACAGGCACTTAAACAAACAAAACAGGCGCTTCTACAGACCGAAAAAAGTAGAGGCGAGTCTGGCACCCCCAGCTCGGAGGTGGGCAGTAGGAGGTGCCGAGAGTGCCCAACTATCTGAAGCCAGGATTTGGGGTGCTGTGAGTAGTGGGAGTAGGAGGGAGGCAGAAGACTGGGCTCAAGAGCAAATAGTACTTGACCAAGAGAGAGTGTGAGTGGGTGTGTGCGGCCCGGGTGGGTTTGCAAAGGGCGAGGGCCCTATGCCGAGACTTACAGGGTGAAGCAGTTTCCAGCGGTGAGCCCCCTGCTTTTGCGAAGGCCTTCAGAAGTCAGAAGCCCGTGGGAACGCCTTGGCGTCCTTTTCCGTCTCCTTGGTTCCACAAGGAGTATCCTAGTAGCTAAGCTGCCCAGCGGATGGCCAGATCCAGTGGGTGGCCACCGGACGCAGGTGGCTGCTGAGCATTTGAAATGTAGCTCAGTGCGGCCCGGGAATTGAATATTTAGTTTTATTTCATTTAAATAAATTTTGAAAGTCTCATGTGAATAGTAATTTCGGAATTTGAGCGCTCTGGAACTTAAGGTAGCTGTCCAGGTGTGGCCTAGAGTATTATTACGATTATGTGCTTCTATAACTATATATAGTATATACTCTATATAAATAATTTATGCATGTGAATTATTAATATATAATATCAAATTAGCTATATATGAGTTTTTCTAATTCATCGTGCTTTTGGTTTTTTGTAGGTTTTTAAATAAAAAAAAATTAATACATAACTGAAGCACCTACATCATGAGACTTACAAATAACTATAACTATTAAAGTACGTAAATGTGTTTTTTACACCTCTTCAGGGTCATAGTTTGTTCGTGAAACGTGACTATCTCACAAATAATTGACATAAATCAGTGAGGAGAATTAAAGGGAGCTTATCAAACATACAAGAGACAAGACAAGGGCCTTTGTTTTCTGGTAGCGCGCTCACTACTCAATGCGTGGCTTTGTGTTTTTCCCACTCCGCATATACTCACCCCCGATCAGTCTACCTTAAAACCTTGCAAAACTGCCTCCGTTGCTCTCTCCCTCTCTCCCTGCCTGTCTTCCTCGCTGGGAAGGAGGCACTGTGAAGAATCAGCGAGACCTGTACCAATAAACCATGGGCTTGTGGCTGAGTTAGATGCTTACTTTCTCTCTCCGAGGTCACAGTTTTTAAACGCCAGGGACCATGGGGCTGGACGCATTCACCCTGGTCTTCCCAAGGGAGGGCAGAGGCCCCTGCCTGAGCCAGCTGGGCGCTAGCGCTGTAGCAGAAGTCGCTGGATTCTCTTCTCACCGGCACCATTCATCCCGTCAGCTCCACACTGAATTTACAGAATAGGTTGCTCGTTCATTCCGTCCTCGCATGTTTCCATTTTAATTAATTATTTATTTATTTATTTGTGGGTGGAGGGGCCAGCTCAGTCCACCAGGGGGCGGGCTGGCTGGCATGTGGTGCTGGGGGATTGAACCG